ACTCAAACTTGTATTGAGTATTAAAACTATATTATTGACTTCGAAGAAAATTGAAGTAGCTCGTTACCTCCTAATATTTATACTAGTAATGATCATTGTTCCGAAGATTCAATGTTCGAAGCCAAGGCAACCAGTACTATTGGAGAAGGATATGGCTGCAGACACCTTCTAGGTGACAGCGTCCTCTACCAGGAAATGTTTCTTATCAACTCCGTAATGGTGTATTATGTAATGGCTTTATACTAGTTTAAGCTATATTTTTAACTGTAAACGGTGCGCTGTCCTTACGTGCGTTGTTATGATTTTGAAGTTTTCTATTCTGTTCATGTTTCGCGTGTAGTGAAACGTGTGGTAATTAGGTTTTGTCGAACGATATACCAAGTAAATAGTGGGCTTCTTTGCTTTTTGTTTTATAATATTGCATTAACTAATGCGCAATATGCCCCAAAGTACATGTTTTATACACGAGGTGGAGCGCAATGGGTGTGATAAACAAACAAAAAGTAGAATTTTGGACATGTAAAAACAAAACAAAAAAAGAACATGAATATAAAACCAACTCTGATCCGCACAGATTACACATCATAAATCGTAATAATAGTTAGGGTATGAGGGTGGGGTGAAGTGTAACTGAAATCCACTTAAGACTTTCTCCCAATGCCAACAGTAAAGCAATACATTTTTGAGAACCGGATTTGTTATGTATTGTTTTTCTAGTACTGTTGGCCGAAACAAGAACTGAATGAAACTACAATGCTGCACTACAAACTCAAATCAAGTTTCACTGCCCTCTGTAGACTATTCGTTTAATGTCTGAACAGTGGCGTAAGTATGCCTCCGCAAAAGGGCCTGACAAGCTTAGGAATTGCCGAAAAGGATAATAAACGTAGTAGGCCCAATTTTTCTTATTTGTAGGCCCCATCTTTTCGCTACTGTGTTTGATTAATTTGTAACATTAACTTTTTTTCAGGTGCTTCATTATAATGCCTTTCAAACCTGTGGAACAACCAAAGTGTCCAAAATGTGGCAAATCCGTGTACGCAGCTGAAGAAATGTTGGCAGCTGGCCAAAAGTGGCACAAGAATTGTTTCAAGTGTGGTGAGTGTTGTTAAGGTCTTTATTAGTTAAAATAAGTACTTCGATAACCTATCATAACACGTGTACAAATTAATTATATGTACACATACAGAGTGACTAAAGTGGTGGTTCGTTAGTGGCTGACGTGGGGTGGCATCGGTAAGGTGGTTCGCGGGATCTTTTGTCCCGCAGAAATGGTTCACGGACGAAAACGTTTAACCATGTGTTAATACCCTTGCTGTATGGAACAACTTTCGTACCCTGGGGTTGCACCACACCCCAAACTAAAAACACAAAACCTTAAGTTTTATTAGATTGTTAATCTGTCCACGTGCATTTAAGGTAAACATCTTATGAAGTATTCCATAGAATATTGTTATTTTCTTTGTTTTGGCATTGGTAATAAAGAAATGATGGAAAATATCGGATGTTGATGCTTAATATCGCTTTATTTACAAAAAAAAATGCATTATTAAAAAAAGTAAGGAATTTTGAACTAGAAATATCATTTGTTGGCCATCATCAGTGAAAATGCCTCACATTTAATCTAACTAACTTCTTGCTAGAATATTCTGTATCTGATACTATCATTTGACACTGAAAGCACTAGATATAAACTTGACTGTGATCTAAACACTGATCTGACTGTCCTCTAACTGATTATATTCACCCTCACTGTTGTCCTCAGGTTAACAATTACTGGCCAACATCTGCCTAATTCTCTCGCCTTCACTATTGCTATCCATCTTCAATGTAATAAATATATAAAATTTTGAAACTGCCCTCACAAAAACCTAATTCGCTGCAAAAAAAAATCTCAAGAAACATGTGTTACCCTCAGTTCAGCTGGGATAGAAATGGGAGATACTAGTTGTGTATTATATTTGCAGTTTTAGGAAGCTAACAGGAACAGCAAAGGTCTCGGTGCTGCGATCAGTTTACGAGATTGTTTACATTTTTTTTTGGGGGGGGAAACCAGGGTACAAACGTAAGGTTAAGAACCACTTGTTTAGAGACGTGGCACAACAGTTCTTTTATCCCTAAAATACCAGACTAATTTGTCCACCATTTGGTTAAAAAGGGTTCATTTGAATCTAAGTATATAACAATATTATAAATAAAGCCAAGAAATAAATTGTGAACACTAAACAAGCCTTTGAAGAAAACCCATCTGTAGAGCAATAATAGAACTTCTCTGATACCATATAGATAACGATATATAAATCATACACACTCACTTTGAGAACCATAAGTGAGCAACTTTAACACACTGCATACACCTTTAGCACAATATGGTCTACACAAGTACATTAATACGGCTAAATTTAACTGGTATTCATAACGTTTTACCATAATTCCAAAACAAAAATCCGTAAATAACACAATAATATAAAAACGCCAAGTAAATAACAGTCAACACGCGAATAAATCATGTCAATAAATGAACCAGCGAATAGAAATGTTTTGATTTTAACATACCACAATATCAACGAATCTAATGTGAACACTACGGAATTAAAAATATCACTATAATTTAATTGTAGTAATAAGTCGGTAAACTGCCCAATTCTCATACCAACATGTCCACAAATCATCTAGGAAAGTCGTAAATCATGAAGTGAGCATTTCACCAACTCAACAAATGAGCATACGTCAGGACAATAGGAACTGATCCCCACCTGAAAATTCAGCCGTGCTTACAAATCGCCTTAGTATCATGCTACTCATCACGTATGTGAAGTCTCTCACACTTTTAATATTTTTTTTAACGCAAAAGGAACAAATTTTATACTTACCCCCATTTATCACGTGACATCACATTGCTTTTACTTCAATTCGTAAATGACTTTATACGGATACAACCTATGTCTTTGCAACACTGAAACATTGACTGTTGATCATGCATTTATAAACTCGCACACCGCTTATTCTAATTTTATATTTTCAGTTATTTACTTTTCAGTTTTTGAAGTTTTTCTTTTTTATGATATTCAAACTAAAATCCACCGTCAAACTAAGCAACTCTACAAAATTTATGTTGTTTACTCAACAGGCCTTTGCCACAAAAGTTTGGACAGCACAAATGCCACAGAACACGGGGGTGAGCTGTATTGCAAGCAATGTTATGGCAGAAAATTTGGACCTAAGGGATACGGTTTTGGTGGAGGAGCCGGGACCCTTAGCATGGACACAGGAGCACATCTAGGCAATACCGAAACCACAATGAGGTAAATCTTGTTGCTATAAATACATAATACCTGTTTAAAGGTGGAGTGGGTGTTGCAGTACCTTAATGCATCAGAATATCAAATTTAATTGACAAGTTCTACAGTTAAGTAATGTTACTACGTATAATCCGAATACGAAGCAAATACTTGTATATATAGAGAAGGTCACGTTTTCAACAAATAGTTATAATTTTGAATATAAAGAAGTTCTAAAAGGAGCAGTTATGGGGGGGGGAGAGCAAACTTTACTTATTAAGTTATACAAAGTAAAAATAATCTGAATAACTTTTTTCTTTTGTTAAATGAGCTATTTAAAAAAAAAATTCGTAATATAGCCAATACTAATTTTTATTAATTCTTTTATTGATTTTTTTTTCTTTCAGCAACAAACCAAGCGACCCATACTACGGTTAAACCCCTGGAATTTAATATTTTCTCTACAAGAGAACAAGTATTTAAATGTGACATCAAGAGGGAACGATCGATTGAGGGGGACAATTTCTTAATATTTTAATTATTTATTTAAATGTTTGTTTCATCACTTGTCTCGGCATATGTGATAATTTGCACTGTAGGTATCGGAACGAGTTTTGGAAATATATATATATTTAATCCAATTAATCGGCCATCAGAACTATGCAGCTATGGAGAACCATCGAGAATAGCCTTATCAGTCTTCTGCTTCAGAGTTAGAGCTAGAACAGAAGCTTTGATTGTCACGCTAGAAAGCTGTTAAATCTGTGATTTTTGTTTCTTTTTCTCGGTTTTTTTTTATGTTGTAATTTATTGTGTATAATGCACTCTATTTTTGATTTAATCGGATGGTGTCGTTCGTATTGGTTCAGTGACTGGAATAACCAGTAAAAAAAGCCTAGTAGTCTTAAGCAAAACCTTGCCTTCTGTTCAAAAGTTTGATTGTAAAATGTGCAACGCTTTTTATTCATTAAACAACTGTTTACAATCCTTATTAGCTTGTTCTGGTTTTTTCAGATCAATGTTTGTATTTTACAAGATAGTATTTATTCATCACTGAAAGAAGTTCCTGGAACAGTTTAACGATGTTAAGTGATTATCGTATTGATTACCAATTTTGTATATTTTAACAAGTTAAACAACATCACCGACCACTTGTGTATATCATATTACCTTTCAGCTTTAATAGCTACAACACAATGGCTATTACTTTTCATTACCAATACTAACTTCATTGGAAGAAGAGATACTATTATTAGCCAGTTCTGCGACAAACTTGCAGCTTTTAAGTTCGCTTTATCAGTTGTTCATTCAGCACAAACGCTGCTTTTGTATGTTTATATGACATACCCAGTGCCTTTTATTAAGTCTTTTCTCTGTTGTTCATGCGACAAACATACTGCTTTTGTTAGGTTGGATTTTATTCGTGCGATAAATACGCTGCTTTTGTTAAATGTTTTATCAATTGCACATTCGACTGTAGTGTTCTTATTTACCTTGCAGATAATAACAGGAAAAATAGCAAACTGTTATACAATCAATGTGACTAGTACAAAAAGACTATTCAGCACTGTTTCTGTGACCGGACAGTACTCTGATCTAGAAATGCCGAAGAAACTCTTGGGTTTGTTGACTTGGGATTACAGTGGTAAAATCTGAAAGTTGCCATTGTGGGTTTTATATTACGTTTTTCTCCTAGGATTTGAGTTTCGTTGATTTGTATGTCGGGCTTGGAGTGCAACTATGACGAAAACATGATATGGCGTGAAACGAAGGCTATGGGTTATTTTTTTTTAAAGTTGGTTTTTTTGCGTATGGTTTTCGGCTTTCAAATGGAAGTATTCATCTGATAGTTGATGAGAGTTACCTACTTTGACAAAAATGATAATCCACCAAGTTTTACGGGACGTTATCCTGAGGACGTTAGTTGATAGATCATCATCATCCGGGGCTTCTTTAATTTCATGAGTAGTGAGAGAAAGGTGGACGTTTCGTAGGATTCTGTATAAGCTGGTGCTGCTTTATTGGCACTGTGAATTCCAGAGAGCATAAGCAACTACTTTGTTTCAGTTGTTGAACAAAAGTATAAAACTTTAAGTCTTTGTGTTTGATCTACTTGCAGTTCGGCGGGAAGTGTGTGGGTTTTTATTAAGTCATAGATTTATCGTAAGGAGTAGGAATTTGCCACGAATTTGAAATATTAGAAAAAAGTCGGGATCAAAATGCTTGATCAGCCTATTTTTCTGATTGTCCAAAAGATCAATTAAAAGTAAAGTTTTGTGATGGCCGTGCCAGAACTACAACGTGCTGTAAAAGCACCCTTGAAACAATGTATCAAATCAATCACTCTGATCAACTGTTATTACTACAGGTATATGGGTACGTACCTGTAGTAATGTCTGTAGCAAGCGTCTTCCGTGTGCCTGTGGACATTCCGGTCTAGCAGACTTCGCCTTGACCAGCATATAGCGATGGTCCCCACTGTATCTTTATCAAATGATCACAGCTTCCACTCGCATGCAAGTCTTGCACCATCGTATGGTTGTTACTATAAACAGCCCGGGTCTAACTGTGAAGAAAGAGAAAGTGAACTATAAGTACCGGTTTTTACAGAGATAACTAAAATCAGGCTAGTCACTGTGCAGATGTAAGACTACCTTCTTATCATGGGAATCCATTGGCATAAATATCTTGCTTTCATACAACTTCACTCGGATACAAGCGTAGTTTGTTCGAATCAACTACAAAGTAGTGCTACCCAAGTATCTTTATTTTTAGCTATTTTTTTTACCTTGGGTCATACATCGAAGTCCAAATTAGTGTGACCTAAAAGCATCTTGTACTACAACAAATGTTAAGAGAATATTCAGGGAAATACTTCGGTACTAGCTGGAGAACCCGTCCACTGGGTGGAAGTTATGTCAATTCATGCTTAATGAAATGTTATCTTGGGACATAAAGTTGCTTCCCTTGTATGTAATTGGAAAAAAAAGCAGAAACGCCCATAAAAACTGTAAAACTCAATGTGAAACCGTAAATTTGCATGTATCTATGCATGGACCCAACAAATCTTCATGTCAAATTTGAAGATCCATCATCAGGAGGCGAAGTAGAGGTAAAAAAATGCACAAAAACTACCAAGAAAACCGCGAAATGCAAAACAAAATTTGTGTGTCTCCCCAATAACCCAATGAATCTCCATACCAATTTTGGTGAAGATTCATCCACACCCTGCGAAGTAGTTACATGGATATACAACACAGTACTATTATATTTATACAGATACACAATTCAACAAAAAATTGGAAACTGTTTATTTTGGGAACAACTTGAAAGATGTAGGTAACGGGTGTTACTTCCTACAGATAATTTCACGAACTTAAATATATTTTAAGTTATTGCAATCGAAAATATATCTCGCTGCTAACTCTGAAAGCGTGCAGTATAATCGCGTATTCTCTCATGTAATATAAACACACAACCTGCTAAACATTTACTTCACTGTCAAACTAAAAGTGCATCTTATCAGCATCAATGAAAGTATCGGATACAACGTATTATTCAGTGATGTTTCACAAATCGATAATCACAGTTTACTTCATAGGTCAACATCTTAACATTCAGAACGAATTATTCATTATTTTCTTAATTGGTTGTTTAACAGTTCTCTTGTTTTAATTCATTCGTTGGTGTCAATAACTCGTGAACGATTTTATGTAATGTTCGTGTATGCGTGCAACACCACATACATACTTGCATGTATGGTACCACACGTGTGTGACTTCATATCAACATCGTAGATGTTTATAGTGTCATACAGACTACCTACAACACATGCACTGCCTATAGTAACTAGTGTGGGTTGAATTTACAAGTAATTTCTTGATAGTAGCGCTACTTTCTACTGTATCGCCATCTATGAGCTCTTTAATTTGTTTTTTCTCTGCATCACAAAATTAATAAACAATAGCAGAACTTTTCAGCTAAAGTTCATTCAACTGGGTCTAGTATTCATATTGTCTATTACAGCAACCATTAATACACACTCGAACCCAACACAGACTAAATAAAATATTAAACAGTAAAATACATTCAGTTTGATGGATGTAGAAGACTTGTTTTGTGTGTGCCTTTGTGTATATATGTATATTTCTGGTATGTGGCTCGTATATTATTGTTTTAGTTCTATTTTAATTTATCACTTTATTTACTTTACATAACGGTTTTATTGCAGATAGACAGATATTACCAAGTTTTGTATATCTGTTGTATTCTTGAACTCTAATTTTGTGGTTTATTTTCTTTTATTTCTCTGATTTAATGGAACCTGTTTTCACAGGGGATGTGGCAAGTAGTTTTTTCCTCTCCTTTGGATATTTATGTGATATATTAACTACTATCGTATTATGTAGTGGCTTCTGAATATTGTTCTGACTTTATGCCGCTCGCATATCCTCTGTATGTTTTCAAGGAGACTTTTTGGTACAGGGGCTTATGGCTTTATGCCTGTTGTTTCATTCTCTGAATAAAGGTAACTTTCATTCCAGAAATGACAAATCTACAGAAAATCTGCATAATACTGGAAGAGTACAACAACTATATAAAAGAAACAATAGAGCTACTACATCATGCAATTCATTCGTCATTCCAACAGCAAAAATAGTAGAGTTAAACGAGGGACGAATTTGGAATTAAAATAGGCTTGGGGAAAATTACTTTTATACTGGCCTTCCGATGAGGTTCGCGGAGAAGGATTTTTGAAAAACTGAGCGGCATTTTGACCCTAATACGTTTAGCCTCTAATTTGAACTAGTATTTTAAACAAAAAATACATTGTATATTGTGGAAAATGCAACGTTTATTATACTTATGGCCCGTCTTAATAAAGACCTATATAACAATGAATTACATGAAATGAAATTAATTCACACTAAGATGATTTTAAAATATGAATTCACTTATCCAATTATTGCTCATCTGTGCTATATCTAAGAGGTGCTTAAAGCAGTGAACGAGAAACTGGGCGCCCGATTTAAATAGTGTCGACAAAAATATTTACGAAGGACTGTAGGTCCAATCCCCCCTCTGTTATATCTTCCTGCTACGTAGTATTACAAATCAATATAATTCCACGGAAACCTCTTCTATGAGAAAGCTTTAAGTGACGTCAAAAAGAGGATGAACCATAACAATAAGTAACCAAGGCAACCATAACTGTAGTTGCATTCCAGAACGGATCTCTACTGTTAAAACAATAGGCGTGCTTTTAGGTGCGTTTGTGTAAAAGGTTTGAAAGCGTCAGGTGAGCAGAAAATGCTAACCTGTATAAACTAAAATGAAAGAAATACCTAACATGCTAAGAATAATACACAATGCGGATATTGTTTTTTTCGTTAGGCTCGTTTTGGTAACAAACACACTGCCTTTGATTTTATGAGTTTCTGTACAAAAAGCACATTTCATAATTAACATTAACTTCTGATAAAAACGAGCTACCCACGTAGTTCAGAACTAAACGCATTCCCCTCCCAGTAATAAGCATAACTGAATAAGTATAATGTTTCATCTATATTACTTATAACGATTAGAAATCACAGTTTCATCAATTGGGTACCTCCACTAGTAACTGTATTTTGGGCCGTAAACCCAGTAATACATCACGAGATTCAGCCAATCAAAGAGTCTTAGGTTAGTCCTAAATCAATATACTAAGCTAAGAATTCAGATAGGGTACTATTTATAATACTCGATTAGAAATAATAAAGGTCGGTATATTAGATATTCCATCTAGCACTTTGCGTCCGTACTGTAAAAACATTATCTGTTCAAGTCGATGTCCAAGTAAGAACTACCACACCGTAGTAAACGTTATACTGTATGGACCGTCTTGGTAGCTTTAGGTTAGTCCTAAAAGACCCCCCAGTGACACAGCGGTATGTCTGCGGACTTACAATACCAAAAACAGGATTTTGATACCCGTGGTGGGCATAGCAC